ATTTTAAATAATAAACCTTACTGTGTTAACAAATGTATTTGACAACATGAGAATGAATCTGATGCCCAGTGGTGATGTTGAAACAAACCCAGGTCCTGGTAATATACTAAGACCTGACTAACAAAGAAGTCATGTACATCAAGGTTCACTCAGATTCATGAATGCAGTTTGTTGAGCAAGTATACATGTATGACAAATACAGTGTAGTTTTGTTGCACTTGTGTACTCTGAGATTCTGAACATGGGTCAGTGGAAGTTTTTAGTTGTCAGTACAAAACTAGATTATGGGAAATCGTTTGATGATGAGTTGTACCCACAAAGAGTACATATTTATTCACCTGTTTGCAGATGTTCCTTGTACTACCTGTATTTTATAATCAAATAACGGGGACTGTGACATTTCATGTCTTGTTTGCATATGCATTCCTAACTTACCGGTACTATATATGTTGTAAACAGGTTTCATGTGAACGTGGTGTATTTTCAAAATATATCTGTGATAAATATGCAGTATAGGATAGCAATGAAAACATCCACCTCATCACATTGAATAAGTGCACATTTTACTGAGTAACTAAAAGTTTGTTTCTTCAACCAAGAATATCATATATTTTGTTCTAATAAGTAAATAATAAACATGTGTCTTTGCTCACATTTTCATATCCCTATAATTGTTCTAATCAACCATTTCTTCCACAGATATTTTTGGATAGAAAGGAACAAGAACATGTGTGGACTAGCAGACTGTGCCTCATATCCAATTGTTTACAAATAAATCATCTACTTTACCATTTCAGTTACCAATGTACTCTCATATTATCTGCCAATAGAGCACAATTCTGAGATTAAGCAGTTATTATTATCACAAATTTCACTGATTAATCATAAACAATAAATATTTGTAATTTTCATTTCAATATTAAATAAACTATTTTGAAAACCTAGACTGCCTGCCTGCCTGGCTGGCTGGCTTACTGTATAGTAAATTCTTTCTACCTGACATTGGTCTGGATCTATTAATTGTGAGTTAACACTAGATATACAAATGTATATTTGTAAATTCTTCATACACTCAGTTATAGTGCAGCCCCAATACTATGAGGATACTGCAAAGTATGCACAAAGACAATACAGCAGAAGTGTCGTCCTTTGCGCAGCAGAGATCAAAGTGACAACTTGCTGTCTGAGTGCATACTTTGCAGTATCCTCATGAAATGAGTAAAATTTCAAAAATTATATTAGAGAATGCTTACATGTGTGATCAATCTATATTTGAACAAAGAAAGACAAAAGGAAAGTCATCCACCAAGATGGAAATGTTACTTTGGAAGACAATATGAATAGTCAAGAAAGGGGCCTGTAGAGCCAGAAAAGTTACTTTGAAAAGGGAGAACTGAATGAAAATTTTGGAAAGCAGTTTGAGAAGACTATCAAGATGTCCTAAAAGTTGCTTTGAAAGGCAGAGAAGCTGTATGAAAAGTTAGCAAAGTGGCTTGAGGAGACTAAAAAGTTACTACAAAAGTTGCTTTGATAGGCGAGAAAGTCACTTTGAAAAGTTGTATAAAACGTATATACAGCGTTTTGAAAGTTTCAAACGGTTGTTGAAAGATTGGAAAAAATTACAGAAAGTCGCAAAGCATATTCAGAAAACTAGAAAGTGTTGTTTTGATGGTGGGAAAGTGTTTCGAAAGGTCGGAAAAGTTGTACAATACAAAAGCTTGGGAAATTTACTGTATAAAAATTCGAGAGGTCAGAAAAGTTGCTTGTAAAGTTGCTTTGTATGTTAGAAATGTTCTATGCCTGCAAAGTGATTTAACATTTTTTTTTTTAAATCAGCTCAAGTCTGAAACATCGTCAGCAAGATCGACAAAGTTGCATAAAGGTCTTATAAAGGTTGTTTTTTCAAAAGCGGTTTGAGAAACTAGAACGATGTTAGTCAGAAAAGTTGCTTTGGAAGTTGTATAAAAAATTTGAAAATCATGTTTGAAAGACAATACAGTTTCTTTGGAATGTGGGAAAGTTGTATGTGCAAAGTGGTCTCTGTTACCTTTGGAATTTTTAGTTTCAATATCTGTAGAATAATTTTGGATATTCTGACTTTTTAACAACAAAGCTGACACCCTGTGTGATTCATCACACAACATAGCTGATTGTAACACATTGGTGTTGAGAAGAACAAGCGAAGAGTGACTCAATGAATGGTTACCACGTACGCCACGGCCACTTCACGAAGTCTCAAGTGGAAATAACACTATGGGTGCGAGAATGCGTACTGGTGGAAGCACTGTTAACACAGTACAAAAATAAAACAATGATTTTTAACAAAACTAATAGACCATATATTTTTCTGTGGCGGGCGGCGGCACATGGGGCAGAGGGGCGAATGCCTCTCGAAAAAATGTTGGGGGCCCCTCCAAAATCAAGCTGAAAGCCTTTGTGTCAGCAAAGTTTGCCCCTCAAAATACAGGAAATAGCGTTTCAGAGGGTCTAGATTTCCAAGTTTTTAAGGGGGAGCATGCCCTCCTAGTAAGGTCGGTAAGCAGATCTCGCCTACCCCCCCCCCACAGCCTCTGTGGTAAAGAAATAAATATAGCCAGACACTTTAATTGCTTGGAAATTACTTTAATCATCAATGATAAATTCGAGGAAGCAAAAAATTCCTTAAAAAGAAAAAGAGCAAAACGCTTTGTTCTCACTGCAGGGAAAAGTTGGCGATAAAATTAATCTACATTTAAAAACAATGTTTTACTTCTTTGACAAACTAATTAGACCAATACTAGTATACGGTAGTGATATTCGGGGAGATAAGAGTTTTTACAAATCTGACATAGAAAATGTTCATCTACACTTTTTACAATTCACTCAAGGTGTGAGGAAAAACACTCCCCTAATGGGAATATATGGAGAATTGGCTCAATTTCTATTAGACAATTTTATCAAAAGACAAATGATTAAATACTACAACAGACGAACTTGTGAAGGAAGCAGCAATATTAATTAGACACCTAAATATAGTAAATGGTTGTGCGTAATAACTTCCCAACTAGACAAGATTAATGAAACATAATTAATCGATAGACGTTACAAATACAAGCATTAAACAACGACAAAATAGAATATTCATCACTCATTGGAACAAAAAAAAAAAAAAAATTCAGATAACACCAAAATTTCAAACTGAGTACATACAGAGAATTCAAGAAAATGTTTGCACTGGAAAATTATTTAACAATGCTAACAAATATTAATCTACGAAAGTAAATCTCTCGATTCCGTTTAAGTAACTACGACCTCAAAATCAAAACAGAAAGGCATACAAAACCAAAATAGAAAAAAGAACTGTAATATTTGCTGAAAGAATGAAGCAAAAACGAATATCATTTAACCCGAAATCAACTATCTGCGATTGGATAACTGCTTCTATTTAGAATCCGAAAGTACTATTATGCTTGAAAATAGTTTCCAACATATATATTGTTTACAGCGGGCACAAGTTATTTACATACACCTAACTCCCTCGCCCCATGGGCAGTTACTGAGGGGCTTTGCAACATCCTCAGACACTTTCCTAAACACTCCAACAGTCACTCGACTGTGACTCCCAGTGATCTTTATAGACTCAATAAAGTTACGTACTCACCCACGTGACGCGGCTACGTGTGACGAAGAGTTGTTGGACTATTCCAATGCTTTGTAGGTACAAAAATCATTACTGTGTGACACGAAAATAGAATATGAACATAAAACTTGGTATGAATATTAACAAGAAACGATAAATGTAAATTCCTTTGATTTGTAGTTTGTTAAGATGTCAATGAGCTTAATAATATTAGCGTTGTGAGTGACCCGTTCTACATTTCTCGCGTAATGTCATGTCTCATTGCCGGTTTACCAGAATCACCCAGGAATATTTCCCAGGGATATTCTACTTAGTTTCACCTCCACACCGTCACAATATTCCAGTTTCAAATATCTTTCAGAACAGAGACGATATTCGATAAACTCAACGATTTCTTGTGTAGACTTCAGTCGACGACCGTCGCTACTCCTGTCGGAACA